GGATGAGGGTGAGGAGGTGGTTGGAGGCATGCACCTCTGAGCGGTAGTTGTCGCGCCACGGAGCCGCGGCGGCAGCACGGAGCGAGGGAGGTGAAATGGCGAAGGGGAGCGAAGAAGAGGGCCTCCAGGTGTTCCCTCGCGGGTTGAATAGGATCAAGGCGGGCGAGCCGAACACGCTGCGAACCACGCGGTTCACGCTCTTGACTTGGATCCCGCTCAGCCTGATGCACCAGTTTAGGCGCGTGGCGAATGTCTATTTCCTCTTCATCTGCGTAATCGTTGTCTTCCCGTGGTCCCCGAAGACGTGGCACAGCAAGCTGGGCCCGTTCTTCCTCGTGCTGCTGTGGACCGCGTGCAAGGACCTGTACGAGGACCTGCGCAGGCGCCGCGACGACAGAGCCGAGAATTCCCAGGCCCCGAGGAATAGAAAACTGCATGATTACAAACGCTCGGAGATCCGTGCTGCGGCTCTCCATCTGTTTCCTCTTGCTCCTCCTCCTCCTCCTCCTTTTCCTCCTCCTCCTCCTCCTCCTCCTCCGCCCCCTCCTCCCTCCTCCTCCTCCCCTTCCATTCCTTCTCCTCATAGATAACCCCTCCCTGTCGCACCCCGAGGCCAGTTTTTAGGCCGGGCCAGGCGTTTCGCCTGAGACTTCCTCACCATATATGACTCTGAAGTTTACACAAATACAACAGCTTCACAGATGGAGGGCGGGTGGTTTTCAAACTGTGTCTGTAGCCTTAGCGCCGCGCACATTCGTTTGTTTAAACATGTGTAACAGTTTCACGGGTTGGGGGCGGGTTGTTTTCAAACTGTGGCTCTCGCTTTAGCGCCGCGCGCATTCGTTCAAACAATTTGCGAAAGCTTCACGTATTGAGGGCGGTTCCTTTTCAAAAGGCGGTTCTCGCTTTAGCGCCGCGCACATTCGTGTTTAACATTTGCCAGAGTTTCACACATTTCCATGATCAGCGTACCAGAAATGGTCTTTTGGAGGGATTCTGGATTATGCGGGCGCAGCATTTATGTTGATTCGCTGTGTTGAAGTCCCATTAACGGCGTTCTGGCACGATTCAGGATCGCCAAGACGCAGCAGTCAGGTTGATATGTGGCGTTGAACGAGATCAATGTTTTGGTACGCTTAAGGATTTTCAAGTTGTTCTTACAACGAGGCAGTTCCCTCAATGGAAATGAACCGTTGTATGGGGCCTATTAAGAGGGAGCTTGGAGGGAGGGTTAATTCCAAAATCGTTGATGACTCTTGGGTTTCCACTGGTCCCTCCTCCTCCTCCTCCTCCTCCACCTCCTCCTCCTGTCGTACGCTGGACCCCCTTGGAACCGCCCCTGGCGCCGCCCTTGCCACTCTCCGCGCGCCAAGGAAGGGGGTCCAGCCGTGATCCGAGAACTCCGCACGGACTTGCGAAAGTTTACGTTTATGTTGTGCTCTCTTGTTCTGAGGTCGTGCGGCGCCTTGTCAAAGGGAAGAACGGCGCCCAGGACAGGTTCGAGGACATCACGTGGAATAAGGTGCTCGTGGGGGACGTGCTGTTCATCATGAAGGATGACCCATTCCCTGCAGACACCCTCCTGCTGCACCCTGCAGGACTCCGGGCCTTTCAAATAGGCCAGGGTGGACGGGGCCAGATGACCGCGCCGCATCGCCGATGCATGGGCGGCGCAGCGCGATCCAGGGCCAGATATTCTCCGTCCCCACGTCGCCGACAAGTCGCCGAAGCCTCGGCGATGCGGTGCGATCCCCCGGCTCCATTCACTCCTCCGACCCCGTCCACTCCGCGGAGACAATGCCTGAATCATCCTCCGCTCCCCCTCCGCCGATGTCCTCGTCGTCCCGAGGAGGAGGAGGAGGAGGAGGAGGAGGAGGAGGAGGCGGTGCAGGAGGAATAGGAGGCGGTGCAGAAGGGCCCTTGACCTTGGGATGAACCTACCCGCAGCGTCAGCGTCAGGAGGTGGAGCACCTCACTCTCTCCTCCCTGGGCCCAATTTGATCCGATCCATCCGATTCCACATCGATGCCAGGTGGCCCGATCTGATTACAGTCGGGGCCCTGAAGAAGGAACCTTTTTCGGTGGGGAGGGGCTCCGCGTTCCTTACGTGTTTCGCAGTTTGCCTCAGGTTTTCCTTATGTTTCCGATGGGAAATCGAAGTTTAACTTATGGAAAAAAGGGGCCTCGTTCCTTATTTAGGGTTCCTTGGGTCAAGGCCCCGACTGTAGATTCTGGTATTCCGGCGATCCGATGTGGCCCGGCATTTGCACAACGATGTTGTGCATCGTGGCGCGGCGGATTCGATTTGATTGCGGTTCCGTACCGGTGCGGCCCGATTCGGAGTTGCTTCCGACGTGATCCGATCTATCGATTCGGTGCAGGTCGTTCATGCTACGTCCGATATCCTCCTCTCTCTCCCAGGCAGCGCCCCACCGTTGGGGGCCCGCGCCTGTGTCTGGGCGGAGCGCTCCGATTCTCCAGCTGGCGCTTGATTCTCGCAGCAGCGTCTCTGATATTGTCGCGGATTGCTCCCCTGCTTGTTTTCCGGATTTGCTTCTGTGGAGGCAAGCCAATTATTTCCATAGTTCGGTCGTGCGCACATGTTCTCAGCGAGGCCCTTCGAGGAGCATGTTGGTTTCTCTTGCGATGAAAGAACGCGCGAAATCGAAAAAAGCACGGGGAATGGACTTCCGAGCGTGGCAAGAATACAGTATCCATTCACCATTATCCGAGGAGGGACCGAGTGCTTCATATCCACGGTGATGCTGGACGGCGAGACGAGCCTGAAAGAGCGAAGCGCGCCCAGCGTCTTCGAAGCGATCAGCCGCGAGTGCGGCAACCAGAGCGGCAAGTGGCTCACGATGCAGGCCGAGGTGGAAGAGCGGGGCACCTCCCGGCCTCCTCCACGCATCGAGGGTCGAGGGGGGGGAGGGATCGAGGCATCGAGAAGGGGGCATGGAGGAGCATCGAGAGTTTGAGCATCGAGCATAGAGAGATCGAGGGGGGATGGAGAGAGATCGAGTATCGAGAGATCGAGCATCGGGAGATCGAGCATCGAGCATCGAGCATCGATGAGGGGGGATGGATCGATCGGAGGAGGCGGCCTTCCAGTCTTTCGTGGCTCCTCATGACTGCACGCTACGATTTCCTGACAAGACTGCGGCGCTGCAAGAAGCAAGTTCGTGCCCCCACGTGTTGTGTCCTCTTCCCCCTCCTCGTCCTCCCCTTCCCCCTCCTCCGCCCATTTTTTTTTTCAGCATGCGATAGGGGCCCCGTGTCCGTGGCCTCATGCTCATCCCTCTCGTCCCCGACTCCCAGACTTTTATCTTCTTTTCTTTCTGCCTCAGCTCAAATCCCTAGTGGAATAGCCGCCCGCTCAGAAATTCGTGTGCACGATGCTCTGCCTAAAATCTTCGCGATGACTCCATAAATGACTCAAACGCCAGTAGCTCTTCACTGAATCACGACACCGGCGTTGATATAAAGATCCCACATCACGCTAACAACATCGTTCTTCCATCAAGTTGAGCTCTGAATATCCACGCTGCCGTTGAACAATGGTCTTTTCGGGTGCCACCGCCGAAACATAAGATGAACATGTACGTTGTTGACGTCCTGATCAGGCGGAAAAAGTTCGCGCCACGACTCTTGGATGTCCATGGTGTAATCGACCATTAGGTCGGCCTTGCGGCTGCAACATCGCTGGCGCCATACGACAGGGTCTTGGTGCAGGGCGGGCGGCGTCATACCAGCACAAAACAAGCAAACGAGGTCGCAGGATATCAGGAAAACAGGCTCGAGAGCAAGATTCGTAAGAGGTGGCATGCCCATGGCGACCTCTACCAAAATCTGGCAACCTGATACGCAAACAAAACAGCGTCCACAGCCGTTCCAATTGAACGGAAAATGCTTCAGACTTGTATCAGCATGTTCCCCAGGACAATTTTCTGGCGTATGCTGCGCGTTCCAGTCGCGGTTGGCCCAGCCTGCCCTTGTTTCGGTATTCTCACCAGTTTCAAGAGCACCAGCGCTTAATCCCAAGACTAGCAACCCATACCCCTCACACACCACCCGCGCGAAATCACCGCATTGACACAGCCCCTCCAGCTGAATCGCCAACCCACGCCAAAAACATAGCAGCATATGCATTCCCAGTGTGCCTGTGTGTGTGTGTGTTTCGGTTTGTGTGTGTTGGTGTTGGTGTTGGTATGTGTTTGTGCTTGTGTCTCTGCTTGTGCTTATGTGTGTTCGTAGTCGTGTTTGGGTTTGTGGTTGTGTTTGTGTGTCTTTGTGTTTGTGTTCGTGTTTGTGTTTGCGTATGTGTTTGTGTTTGTGTGTGTGGTTGTGTGTGTTCATGTTCGTGTTCGTGGTTGTGTTTGTGTTTGTGTTTGTAATTGTGTTTGTTGTTGTGGTTGTGGTTGTGGTTGTGGTTGTGGTTGTGTGGTGTGTTTGTGTTTGTTGTTGTGGTTGTGTTTGTTGTTGTGTTTGTGTCAATGGCAGTGTTTGTGTTGCATTTGCATTTGTATTTTTATTTGAGTGTGTGTGTGTGGTTTAGGTCTTAGTTGTGGTTGTTGTTATGGTTATGGTCATTGCTGTGGTTGTGGTTGTTATGGTTATGGTTGTGGTTGTGTTTGTGCTTGTTCTTATGGTTGTGGTTGTGGTTGTGATTGTGGTTGTGGTTGTGGTTGTGTGTTAGTTTGTGTTTGTGATTTTGTTTGTGTGCGTGTTTGTGTGTGTGTTTGTGTGTGTCTGTGTCTGTGTCTGTGCCTATGTCGGTAGATCCGTTAATGGTTGCGTTTGTATTTGTTATTGTGTGTTTGTGCTTGTGTTTGTGTATGTGTCTGCGTTTGCGTTTGCGCTTGTAATGCTTCTGTTTATAGTTGTGCTTGTGTCTGTGTCTGTGTCTGTATCTAAGATGATGTGTGTTCGTGTGTTCGTGTGTGTGTTTGTGTGTTAGTGTGTATGCACCTGCGAATGCGTGGGGGAAATCATCGCGCTTCCGTCTAGCATACTCGCCATGCGTCCTGTTGTATTCTCACCAATTTCTGTCGCGAAGCGTCCGGCCTTTCCACAAGAAGGTTTTGCCCCCGACGGTGGGATACGATATCTCTCTCCAGGCATGTGTGGACACTTGCTTCAGCACCCTCAAATACAGCGGCATCTTCTGGAATGTATCGAAGGTGTCGAATACGATCTGATGTACGCATATTGTATGTCATACGGCTGTCGTCAGGTCTCCAGCGCCCCCAAAAAGTTGTCCGTGAAAGTTTCCATCCCCATTCTTTTAGTTTCGCCAGAAGTATTTGATTCAATTGCTAAGGACATTGCCCAAACATTGAAGATGTGGATGGGCCTGGACACCACGCTCCAAGCTTAGCCCGAGGTGACCCTGAGCCCTTGAAGATCTGGCTGCGCTTCCAAATAAACTTTCTGCCTTGCATAGTCTGTGTTCCATGGCCTCCGCTGTCTTACCATCCGCTGCCGACTGCACCCCCAAAGCCTGCATGCTTCTACGTCAACCCATGCTCGTATAGAGTAGTAGTCACCTCCTGTGGCATGTGCTCAAACTCTGCAGCGCTCCCGGCAAGCACAAATATGTTGTCAGCCACCAAGTGCCACGGAGGATCCACATCGCCATCGCCGAAGCGGAAGCCGCGGTACATATCTTTCCATTTGCGCCGACCACAGGTTGCAACGCGAACTCTAGCAGGTAGGTAATTAAACAGCTCCGGGGTCTTGACGCCTCCTTGTTTGCCTCCAGCGAAATCTTGGAAACGTTCAGACGGCTCTGATCCAGGCACCGTGATGCGCCCCTCCAGGTACGAGAGTCCATGAAAGATTGCACGAATCACACACGGATGAACATGCCGCGCCATGGGCGACTCCTGCAGAGCAAAATGCCGAATATGTCCACAGGCGAACCGGACATCCATAGCACCAACAAGAATAATCAAACCCACATGGTGGGCAATAGTAATTTCTTCATGAAAAACCGACGTGACGTCATCACTCTTACACCTTGCCTTGAAGACGAAGGTCATGACTGAATTTTCCTCAAGTGACAATGATGGTCGCAAAGTTGTCATGTACCACTTGGACAGACAGTCTTGTTTACCAACGTATCGAACATCGTCCAACAAGAGTGGTTTTGGCCTCTCAGGCAAAACAGACATCGATATACTTCTATGTGTCGACATCCTGGGAGTCGCGGTGCACCGTCCACACTGTAGTCCACACCAGAAGCCGTAGCTTTCGTGCCCTTCCAGACAAGATGCCGAAAAATGATACTTCCGGACTGGAGCAACCATACAGGATAAGATTTCTGCCCGGCCGATCCACCCCCTCATCATCCTTCTCCGGTACCCCTCCCTCTTATTCCCGCCCATCCTCGTCCTCCCCCTCACAACCATCCCTCTTCCCATTCCCCCACCTCCTCTTCCTCCTCCCCCCCTCACCCTCCTCCTCCTCCTCCTCCGCATTTTCACGGGGGGAGGGTGGCTCCTTTTCACACCGAGCCTTTAGCTGGACACGGCCTTCATTTGTAGGATCATACAGTACCGCATTCCTGCAGCTAGAAAAATGGATATAAGTCTTTGTTCAACGGTACGCGTTCGCATGCACTGATACAGCTGACCGACGTGCCGGCGAACGCTGGCGGCAGTTCTGGCTGGCGATAGGACGCCAGTCCGAGGCTTTGGGCGCGCGTGCGGCTGACGGCGTGCTTCGGCCCACCGGGTCAGCTTGTTCCAGCTGGTCAGCGCGCGCCGTCGGGCGGGATGGGGGCCCCCTGCGTCTTGCCTGGAGTGGGCGAGCGCGGCTTATGCGCGTGCGGCGGCAATTGGGCATCCCGTCGGTTGGCTGTCTTCGCTCGGGCGTGCTGAGGATCGCCCTCTTGAAGGGCAGCGGACTTCCCCCCCCCCAAAAAAATAGGCTTCTCGTCGGTCCCACGGGAATCTGGCATGGCATTCCGAGTCTTGTGAACACGAAGGTCGGCGCCCGGGATGTCCCAGCCAGCCCGATGGAAACGCGCAGTTGTGCGCCCACTGTTCTTTCCAGTTGGGGCGAGGAGACAGTGAAGTGCGAAGGGCACAGGATGAGGGGGGCGATGCACGCGCTCCACGCAGCTGCACGGCGCCCGGGAGAGGCGAGAGTTGCATAAGGCGCAAGAGTTCTGCTCTTCATCTTGGCGGCGGCCTTGCCCGTGGTGCCTTGTGTCGTCGCGCTGAGTTGCTCGGGGTTGATCCCTCCTCGCCGGGACCTTGCGCCCCTTCGTTTCTCGTTGAGCTGGTGATTCCGAGGCAGGGCCACCTAGTTGTGATGCGGGAGTTACCGAAAGCTGAAGCATCCATGACACGTCGCCACCACCCGGAGGCTGCCCTGGGGCCATGTGCAATTATGAAGGCGCACACGCAGTCTTGTTGCCAGGTCCATGCACCGTCAATCGCTGCAGGTCCCAGATTGTTTGGCAGTATAGTCCGAGGAGGCGCCAGACCCTGCAGGATTCCTTATCCAATGAGCGCGGCGGTGATATCCATGGCCGCTCAACGATTGGCGTTCCGCTGGCTTCCAGACCCTGGATTCCTTATCTAAGGGTTCCTTCTCCAATGCCCCCACCGCGCGCGCGTGGGCAGGCTCGAGAAAATGGCGCAGGCGGAGTTGCCGCGCGGCGATTCCCTGGTGTAGCAGCGGCGTTCGCGCGCCGAGCCCTCCGCAGCTGGGCGGCGGGCCCTGGAGGCCGGCGATCGCGGGCTTGCTGCCGCCCGCTCTGTGATGGCGGAACTCGCCGAGGCGCTGGCCGCGGCCCGATCCCGACACGAGGCGTTTTACAGGGCCTTGGGCGGCGGCGAGGTGGCGGCGCGGCTGGCCGCCGTTGCGTTTGCCCTTGCCGCCCAGGTGCAGGGACTGCCGCCCACGCCCGCGGACAAGCTCCGCAGGGACGCGGCGCTCCATGCGGCGGCAGAGGGGCCGGATGTGGCTTCCGCTGACGCACGTGAGCTGATGGCGGCGCGCCGCGGGCCCCGCCTCGGCCCGCAGCGGCCCATCGCAGGCGTGGGGAGCGAGGTGCAGGTCTGCTTCGCCGAGCCCGAGTGCGACCTCACGCGCTTCGAGGGCCCACCCGAGGAGATCGGCGATGCGGCGCCCGTGGAGGGGGCGCGCGGGGGCGCAGAGGGCCTCGGGGTTGGCGGCCACGGCGGCGCAGGGCCTGCGCCCGGTGTTTGGCACGTGGCGAACCCACTCGCGGAGGCGGGGGCCTTCGCCGAAAGGTCAGCCTCAGGCCGGAGCCTGGCGGAACGCCGAGCCGATGACGCCGACCAGCACGACAAGGACGAGCAGGGCCCCAGTGAGCAGGGCGTGTGCGACCCCGTGCATCACGAAGGGGTCGTTCGCTGCGACAGGGAGCTGTGCCAGGAGGGCAGAGTCGAGCAGCGCACCAGCGAGAAGAGCGAGCACGACTCTGAGCGGCACGACAGGGTCGAGCCGAGCGGCAGGGAGCAGGCTGCCGCGAAGCAGGGGGAGGGCGCCCGGCTGCAGGTGGACCACGACGCGGCCTGCCCCGACGCCGCCGACGAGGAGCTGGCGAGCGGCTTCTTCAGCGTGCGGTCGGAGGCCGAGCTCAAGGGTCACGTCGTCGACATCCGTGCGGGCATGGACCTCTCCCTGGCCACCGACCTCGACGTCTTCGAGCGGCTGGAAGCCAGGGGCGCGGCGTGGCCGCCCTGGACCGAGGCGACCGCCATGGCTCTCATCGTCCAGTTCGTCACGGAGGCTCAGGGGCGGAGGGGCAAGTGCGAAACCGCGGGCGTCGCGGCCACGGCCCCCACCACGCCCGTTCAGCTCCTCGGCGCCATGGTGGGCGGGGCGCGCGGCGGAGCCCGAGGCGGGGGCCCCGCCGAGCCCGTCCGCACGAGGCAGCACCAGAAGGATCTGGACGACTTGGCGACGGCCTTCTGCATGGAGTTATGCAGGCCTCCGCTGGAGCGTCCGGTGGCTCGGAGCACGGCGGGATCGAGCGGTTGAAGTCCGCAGCGACCAGCGAGGCGCGGCGGAGGCGGCGGGCCAGCGTCCCTTGGGGGCCACGGCTCCCCCTCCGAGGAGGAGGCCCGCGGCCGCGGCCCTGTGGCGCGCGAGGCGCAGTGTAAGATCTGTTTGGGCCCTGCGCGCTGCATGACTTTCAACGCGGGTAACCAGGCCCCTGAAGACAGAACATGCCCCACCGTAGCCCGGTGACGGTGACGTGGCCCTCACGGGACATGTGTGCCGTCAGGGGGATCGCAGCAAGAATGTGGTCGCGCGGGAAACGCTATTCTTCTGCAGGTGCGCAACGCCACCGCGAGCCCAGCGGCGAAGGAAGCCCAGGGCAGCAACATTGAGGCGCGGAGGGCATGCTCTACAGAGTCCAGAGGGGCCGCAAGATCGTCGGCACAGGTGGGATATCTGCCTGTTGTTGCCGCTGCCGTGGCTTCAACAACGAGATCGTAGGCCATGCACCAGAGGAGGGATGATGTGCCCCCCATGCCAATGAAGCTCACGAGTCTGCACCCGGGGCCAGTGCACTTTCCTTTGCAAGTCTGGACTTCTCTGTCCACGGCGAGTGCAAGCAGGGCGTGCTGCAGCCAGGTGGGAAGACCCCAGCGGCGCAGCAGCGCCGCTACCGACTGTAACGAGAGTCTCTCGAAGGTTGTGTTCTGATCCGCAAGCGCGACGGCGGCGTGGGAACGGGGGCCATATCATAGACGCAGTCGCTTGTCGGATGCACTCGTCTACGACGGGGCCGTGTCGGTCGCCTGCGCGGTGGCGATTGCAAGGTGTTCGGCTGCCGTTAGGCTCCGAACAGCCTCCGCATGCAAGCGGGAAGTTGCAGAGGTCGCCGGTCGTTTAGTCTCTGTGCGTGGGAGTCTTGTAAACCCAAACGAGAAGGTCGACCGACGGGCCTGGGACGGCGTCCAACAGAGCTGAGTTGCTCTCCGAAACGTACCAAGCGTTGGCGAGCAGTCATGCGACAAAGGTCACCCCGGGGTGGTATACTTCGCAGGGTTCCCCGTTAACCCAGGCGCATTGCCGCCGGGGCATAGTACCAGGATCAGGACCTGTCGGTCTCCCGTAATTAAGCATGCGTCGATAAGTTTTCGCGCAAAATTTCTGCAGTGGCGGCGCAGGTTGCCAGATGCCCGCCCTGCTTTCCCAAACTACTTGGTCGATTTCTGGAGCTTTATCATGCCACGCGCCCTTGTCGTCGCGCGCTCCCCTGAGAGAGCGCGTGGTCCTAAAGATTTTTCCCGATGCGGTAATGCGCCACCAATCGTGTTCTTTCTGCCCCTGCTCCTCTCTGCCACGGCGTGAGGTTCGCCGCTCTTCTTCGATCCTGGTCAGCTTTCCACCTGAGCGCCAAGACAGCCACCTGGATGGGAGGAAGTCTTCTCCGCCCCAGCCCATGTCAGTCATCGAAGCGGCGAGGGCACCAGTGAGCCTCAGGCCCTCGCTGGCCCGCAGCGTTCTCCTCAGCAGGTGGCCTGGGCCCTGGTCGTTGACTTTCTTGCTCCACCTCCGCCACCAGTTTTGTATGGCAGCTGCGAGGGCGTGTCTGCCGAAGTCCACCAAGAGTTGAATCCGCGGCGGCGCTACTTGGCCCACATGGCCCTGAGCCGGCACTGAAGGGTCTTGGGGAGGCCAGGTCATCGTTTGGCTCCATTGTGGGGTCTCCGGAGGGTCCCTCAAGAGCGTTCGGAGGGCCCTGAGTCGAGTCTCCTTCTGGCGACAGACAGCCCAGTGTTCCCCCAATCCTCCTACTTCACCTGCGTGACCTGCGCCGCTGGGAGGGGGGGGGGGACGGTCACTCCCGTTCAAGGATTCATCCTCCTCCCCGCCTCCCCCGGGGCCTGTCTCATGGAGGCCACTTGCGGCAGGACGGTCGGGACCGCACGACTCGCATTTAGTCTCTTCTCCAGTGCCAGGAGTGCGTGGCTCGCCCCTTGCACTAGGTGCGCCTTGAAAGACGACCGAGCTGGACGAGCCCGAGCTGTGCAGGCGACCCATTGCTGCCCATACCTGCGCACAGGCAGCCGTGGCCGCAGCCCTTTCCGCAAAGCGACTGGGAAGAGTCGCCCCGTCGCCAGCTGCAACCCTGACATCGATGCGCCTTGCTATGGTGGCCCAGCAAGGCCATCTCACTCGCTTCCGGTTGCCAGGGTCTCCGCGGGGCCGTGCCGGTAGTTTTCGGGAGCGCCCCTGGAGGGCCAGAGTGGCTCCAAGCGGCAGTGTTCCCCGTCGGCTGCACGGTGGTCCCCGGACCACAGGTGCCCGTGCTGCACTGTGCGTCCCTCTCAACCCGGTCCCTCCCCTCCTCCACCTCTTCGTTGCTCCCCTCGCGGGCGGCAGGCTGGATCGTCCTGCGGTGCGGTCGCCTTGCTCGCGGGATCGTCTGGCGATCCCCCATGGGCCCGCCAGCTCTGAGCCGGGCGCGGCTGCGGCAGCGCCTCCGGGGCAATCGCAGTGGCCGGGCGCGGGGGGCTCGCGCGCGAGGGCCGCGGGGCGGCGGGCAGCGTCTGGGAGCCCCCTCGAGACCCAGGGTTCCGGGGAAGCGGCTCGAGCCAGAGCTACGGTCGCACAAGCAAGCGCAAACAACCAGCACCAGCAAGCACGAACAACGGATTTGTCCTCTAATCTCTCCCCATCTATACATGTTCCCCCGGCCTCCTCTTGTCCCACCCCCCAGTCCCCGCCTCTTCTCCGAGGCGGAAACGTGGGCTGCCGAACCCAAGGGCGTGGAGGACGGAGCAGACGGTCGCAAGGACTCTGCGGCCATTCTTGGCCAAGAGCATTGGAGGTGTGGATGGAGGGGAATGGGACAGGAGGGAGGAGGGGGGATCATGATGAAGAGGAGGGGAAGGAGGGGAGAACGACGACGAGCATGAGGAGAGGAGGCAGGGAAAGAAGGAGGAGGAGGAACATGAAGAGGATTCGCAGAGTGTAGATGGTGATGAGGACCGCATAACCACCATGACCCCCCGCACCCGCATCCGTGACACGACCGCGACTGCCGGCACAGTGTTGGAGGAAGTCGGCCGCGACTTCACGGAGCTGGAGGCCGAGATCCACGGGCACCTCCCTTTTTCTGCAGTCCTCTTCGCCCTCTCCCCCCATTCCTCTCCTCCCTCTCCTCCGTCTCCTCTGGTGCGAATGAAAGCAGTTAAGCGACTGGGGAAGCTTCGAGCTAGGATGCCCAGGGTGATGATTTTGTGGCGAACAGGATTGTTTCTTGATGTTGGGAAGAGCGTATTCTACCGCTGCTGGCGGAAAACCGGGGGGGGGTCACTACCGGTTCGAACCCTTCCCCCCCCCTTCGGAAAACCAGGGGGGGCCACTACCGGTTCGAACCCCTCCCCCCCACCCCCCCAGTCCATCATGAAAAGGGGGGGGGGTCACTACCGGTTCGAACCCCTCCCCCCCCCCTCGAAAACCGGGGGGGTGCGGACAGTGGTGGGGACGGTGGTGGTGGGGACAGTGGTGAGGGGACAGCGGGACAGTGGTGGGGACAGTGGGACAGTGGTGGGGACGGTAGTGGTGGGGACAGTGGTGAGGACAATGGTGGGAACAGTGGGGACAGTGGGACAGTGGTGGGGACGGTGGTGGTGGGGACAGTGGTGTGGGGACAGTGGGAATGTGGTGGAAACAGTAGGACAGTGGAGGGTACAGTGGTGGTGGGGACAGTGGTGAAGGCGGTGGCGAGGACGGCGGTGGGACAATGGGACAGAGGTACAGTGGGGACAGTGGTGGGGACAGTGGGGACAGTGGTGGGAACAGTGGGACAGCTCAGTGGGACAGCGGAGGAGTCAGTGGGACAGTGGGGACAGTGGGGATAGTCGGGCAGTGGTTGGGGCCGTGGAGAAAGTGGGGAGAGTGGAACCGTGGTGGGAACAGTGGTGGGGACAGTGGGGACAGTGCGACAGTGGTGGTGGCACTGGTGGGGACAGTAGGGGCGGTGGTGGAACCAGTGGGGACAGTGGTGGTGAGGACAGTGGTGCTGGGAACAACAGTGGGGGATGTGGTGAGGACGGTGGTAGGGACCGGGAGTCGTTTGCTGGCGGTGAGAGGGGGGGTGGGGAGGGGTTCGAACCGGTAGTGACCCCCCCCCGGTTTTCGAGGGGGGGGGGGGTTCGAACCGGTAGTGACCCCCCCGGTTTCGAGGGGGAGGGGAAGGGGGGGGGAGGGGTTAGGGGAGGGGGGGGGGTGCCGGGGGAGGGGAGTGGTGGGGGGGGGGGGTCCAGCAGGGGGGGGGGGATTTTCGGAGGGGGGGGGGGGACCCCCGGGTTCCAGAGGAAGAGAGGGGGGGGGAATTTTCCACAGGAAAGCGGCGGTGGATCACGCTCTCTTTGATGTTGCGCATGGCGTTTTTGTCTTTGGGTGTTCGCGGCAGAAGCTTGCCATGCTGCGTCAGACTGCAGGCGTGGTGTGTTGTAGAAGTTCGATCACTGCTTCGGTGCTCCTAGTGTTAGCCACATAGCCAAATCAGTTATGAAATCCCATGTTCCATGCGACTCTGGAGCCAATTCGGGCATGTGCCAGTTTTGTTGGGACCAGTGGATATCCTTGGGACGACTGCAGCGTGCCTAGGTCAGATTACCAAGTTAACAGCGAAATGTTCCTGGACGGCTGCCAGGGGACCGTTGGCGACCATGTGGCTTACACTAGAAAGAAGGACAAAGAGGTACAGTGAAGAAAAGAGGGCACGGGAGGGAGACGGGAGGGGAACGGAGGAAGAGGCGGAAGGAAGAAGAAAGGGAGGAGAGGGGGAAGGGAGGGGAATGATAGAAACAGAAAAGAGTCCCGATGGGGAAGGGAATTCAGTAGGGAAACAGAGGACGAAGAGGGGAATTGTATGGATGTTGGAGAGACGGGAGGCGGGGGGGCGAGGAAGAAACGAAGGAGAAACTGTGCATACCCGTCCCCGTTCTCCATTAAAGGTACCTTTCTATGATCAGCACGCTCGGCTTGGACGTCAAGCTAGCAGCTCCCACGCCCACCCTCCACGACGTCCGCGGCGCGGTCCACATGATGGGCGAGGATGCCTGGTCGGGCGGGAGGCCGAAGGATGGAGGGACTAAGGAATGGAGGAGGAGGCTGCTGTGGCGAGGAGGGCCAGGAGGAGAAGGAGGGGGCGGAGGAGGTGGAGGTGGACCAGGAGAAGGCGGACGAGGGGTGGTGGGGAAGGGGGGACTGGGGGAGGGTCGACCAGAAGGAGGCTCGGAGGGGCTGAATGTCGAGGAGGGAAGGCGAGGAAGGAAGGCTGATGCTCCAGTGGGAGGAGAAGAAGGAGGAATAGGAGCAGGAGGAGGAGAAGGAGTGGAAGATCGGAGTGAGGAGCGATGATGAGGACAGGGAAGCAGATGAGGACGAGGAGTGGAGGATAGGAGTAAGGAGTGATGATGAGGAGAGGGGGAGGTGGAGGAGAAGGAAGAGACGGATGGGGCTAAAGAAGAGGATGAGGAGGAGGAGGAGGAGGAGGAGGAGGAGGAGGAGGAGGAGGAGGAAGGGTGAGGAGGGGTAGGGGAGGCGGGCGACGGGGAGGGGGCAGCAGGGCGAGGAGGTCGAGGAGGAGGAGGAGGAGAAGGAGAGGGGGCAGTAGGGGGGGACGGGGAGGGGGGAGAGGGACGGCGAGCGAGCGAATCGCCAAGCGTTGTGTCAGCAATGGCGAGCAGCGGCAGGCGCGCGAAGAACGGGGAGGGCAGGGGGCGAGAGGGAGGGTCGACGAACGGGCCGCAGCACGCGCAGGAGGCGCCAGCGGAGAGAGGGGAAGGGAGGAGGGAGGGGGAGGAGGAGGGAAGGGCGAGGAGTCGAGAAAGAGAGAGAGCGGACTAGACATAGACTGTCGGAGCTTCGCGCGGATGTCTTGGATCTGCGTTGGGCCCCCCTGGCAGTGCAGATCCAAGCCATCCGCCCGGACCTCCGACAGTTAATGTTTATGCGTTGTCCTCCTCCTCCTCCTTCTCCTCCTCCTCCTCCTCCTCTTTCTCCCTCTTCTCCTCCGGAGGACATGAGGTACGGTCGAGAACGTTCGATTAGCATGTCGCTCGGCCGGTTCTGGCCCACCTCGCTGCGGCGCGACACGCTATCCACGTCGCGGTCCTCAGGCGTCCACGTCACGAGTTGTTTTCCCATCTCCCCGTCCCGCGGAGCGGAGCGACGCGCCACCCACGCGCAGGGGCAACGCATGTCGCCAGGGCTGCCGCGGCGACACGCTAAGCAAAAGTTCCCGACCGCATGGGATTGGTGAGGAGGAGGAGGAGGAGGAGGAGGAGGAGGAGGCGGAGAAGGAGGAATGGGAGGGGAAGGAGTGGGAGGAGGAATGGGAGGGGAAGGTGGAAGGCGAGGAGGAGGGGAGGGGATGAGGACAGGGGAGAGCGCGGAGGATAAGTTGAAAGGAGGAAGGGAGCAGGGAGGAGCCATCAACCATGCACGAGGGCGGCGGGAGTAAGAGGAGGAGGAGGAGGAGGAGGAGGAGAAGGAGGAGGCGGAGGCAGAGGCGGAGAGGAAGGGGGAGGAGAAGGAGGAGGAGGAGGAGGAGGACGAGGAGGAGGACGAGGAAGGCACGGGTTGAGGATGTTTCCTCCAGCGCGACCAACGTGTGCCCGTTCGGGGAGATCAACTTCCTGCCTCGCGGGTGCATCCTGAGGAACACCCCCTGGGTGATCGGGATCGCGGGCTACGTGGGGGACGACACAAAGGTGCGCATGAACGCGATGCGGAGGGGCGGGCAGCGGAGGGGGAGGGGGAGAGGGAGGGGGAGGAGAGGAGAGGAGACGGAGTGGGGGAGGGCGAGGCGTGGAGGAGGAGGGAGAAGGGCAGCAAAGGGCGGGGGGGAGGGGGGATGGAGGGCAGAGGGGGAGGCTGGAGGCCAGGTGCAGAACAGAGATCAGCGCTGGGCACAGGGACAGGCACAGGCTACACGTGGTGACCCAAGGATGGACTACATTTGGAGCCCCCCGACGCATCTGCTCAGTTTTGCTGCGCTGCTTCGGCCAAAACAGCCGGGGCAGGTATGCACCTCAGTAAGAGCCAGTTGCTTACAACATGGTTTCAACGGCACCCGCCTAGAGGCAAGAGCATGCCAACCGCAAGACTTACAAAACGAAGCATGTCAGGCCCTCTAGAGCCTCATTGAGTGCGTCTCGTACGCCCACCCGCCTCGATATGAAGCCGCCCTCCCCCCCCGACGAAGAGCCGAAAACCGATCACTGGAGCGGGATGGGGTGAAACCAGGAAAACCAAGCCACTCAGACAATGAGGCCGCTGCGGCCGATCCGAAACAAACAGTGCGACGCTTGCCCGAACCGTCCAAGGAGTGACCAGACGTCAGGGCAGACACGATGGAGGAAAGAGGAGGAGGGACACGAGCCGTAACTTGACGGTTCCAGAAAACGAATTCCGAGAGTAAAAGCCATCCGCGATCCCATCGTAGCCCGTGAAATAGCAAACGTGACCGCTAGAATTTGTCAAAGCAATCGAGAACGCAGCCAACTCCCCTGGCAATGAACTGCTAATCGTTAGGCAAAGGTCCTGAATCGGAAGCGTGGATCGAAACAGGATCGGAATCAGAAGTTTACACAGCAGCAAGGCCCACTTGTCCGGAATGTGGATCCGACGATTGTCCTCTTCCGCTCGCACCCCCAAGCACCAACAGGGGCGTGGTAGCCATGCTTGAGCCCAAGCAGCTTGGGAAACAACAACGAATTACAACCTGCGACCCACCAGCTCTCACACTTGCTGGGAGACGTTACTGCTGCGGACGAGGCTGGAAGGGTTCCTCCCAGCCAGAGACAGGATTCGGCATCGGCTTCAGCCGAAGCCTCGAGGACCAGCGAGGTGCTATTATCACATGCCGCACTAACACTAGCTTCACACCGCCAGCATCGATGGAAACCCGTCTCGGGGCAGCGCCGACATTTGGTGCACGTGTCATCAATGGTGGCATCGACCATGTTGTTGGTTATTGCTCTCGGCCAGCAACCCCCGTCAGCAATCGACACCACAAGTTCATAGAGCTGCTCACCGTGCTTGACTGAGCGCGAGCGCAAAACCAAGAACAACGATAAGAGACATTGCACACCCCGTGCTGCATACCAGTGCGCCGACGCCTCCCGCCAAAGCCTGGCCTGAACAGAGGCAGCAACATCGTCGAGCTAAGGATCACATCTCTTGATGATTCGGCCTCTAGGAGGAGCAGGAGGAGGAGGAGGAGGAGGAGGCGGTAGAGTAGGAGGAGGAGGAGGAGGAGGAGGCGGAGGAGGAGGAGGAGGAGGAGGAGGAGGAGGAGAGGAGGCGGAGGAGGAGGAGGAGGCGGAGGAGGAGGAGGAGGAGGGAGGCGGAGGAGGAGGAGGAGGAGGAGAAGGGTAAGGAGGAGGGAGGAGGAGGGCAGAGGAGGTGGAGGAGGAGGGATAATTCGCCCAGCCTCCAACCCCCAAGCCCCCCACCTCCTCCTCCTCTTCCTCCTCCTCCTCCTCCGCGTCCTCCTCCTCCTCCTTTTCCTCCGTCTCCTCCTCATCCTCCTACTCCGCCTCCTTCTCCTCCTCCGTCTCTCCTCTCTCCTCATCCTCCTCCTGCTCCTCCTCCTCATCCGCCTCCTCCCTCCTCCTCGTCTCCTCCTCCTCCTCCTCCTCCGTCTCCTCCTCCTCTCCTCCTCCTCCTCCTCCTCCTCCTCCGCCTCCTCCTCCTCTACCTCCTCCTCATCCTCCTCATCCGTCTCCTCCTCCGCATCCGCCTCCTCCTCCTCCTCCTCCTCCTCCTCCTCCTCCTCCTCCCCCTCCTCCTCTAGGGCGAGTCAAGGACCACATCTCTTGATAATTCGGCCTGTGGGAATTTCCAAGCTTTTAGGTCCCCATTAAAAATCTGAAGGCGCAGCCCTAACAATCGGGTTCCTCGGGATCCCACCCAGACTCCGATAGACATAAGATCACGGCCTTTGCGAGCGCTCGTGCTTGACGCGACCGTTGCCCAGGCGCAACAGGGCGAAGACGTTCCAGCCACCGAGGGCGTTCCCGGCGAACTCCAGAGCCCATGGATGAACTCGTAACCCACTGCTGAAGCCACAGTCGTGAACAGTCACGAGGATAAACGATTGCTGGGTCTCCCCCAGGGCACCTTGAGTCCAGGACGAAAGTCAAACATCACCCCCGCAGCCCCACAACCACGAACAGCTCCCAGTTGCCTACGACGGCGGACCAGGGTTGAACCGAATCGTCCGTGTACTTGACGTGCGTAGAGCCAGGTTGGAAAAGCGTTTGCACGTTGAATGTTGGCAATGGTCCGATAACGACGGGAGGTGTTGGCAAACGCTCTTGGAAGGCATAGCCACGGATGTGACCACACGTTTTAACCCGATTAGTTCTAGAACGCCGAACACCAGAACCCCCAATGCTAAATCAGTACCTAGATCGCCCCCGTGCCCAACCGGCGACATCGAAAAGCTGCTTGCAAACAGCCGTCTAGTAGTACAGACCGCACGTCGGGCATACGCGAGCAATCCATAATATGCGTGAGTGGAATTCGCAGCTGCTGGCTGTAAACTCCACGGCACGTGTCCAGCAGTCATGCCGTCAAAAGTTTGCGAACTATATCTGTCGACCCGCACGCTCTCTGGGAACGGTCATCGATCCACATGCGTGTGCCCAGGCGCACGTGTACAGTTATGAAACGTGTAAGCTAAAAACATGCATCTGACAAACCGAGTTCCCGAACGGAGTCCCTGGATAATTGATCTGGCAGGGCAAAACACTAGCACATGAAGGCCCTTGCCCAAAAGTGCGAGGCCCTGCGCATTGAAGCCATTGGAGATAATGGAACATTGGCGGAACCTGAACCTCAATCAATAGTATCTTAAAAGTTTCTTAGATCATGCGACACCCTCGCAGACGGAATAGAAAGGGTTCTCGACACTTCGTCTTCCAAAACACTTCGAGACCCTGGCTTCAGGGACTGGTTGCCCTTGACAGCCGTTTCCCGAGGGGGTTCAGAATGAGCACCCCATGCTTGCACGTTAGGCGCTCTGGCCACAGACCAGATCGACCACACCGATCATCCTATCCCTTTTGCTTTCTTCGACAGATGCCTTCGGATAGCCAAGCTGATCTGTGATGACCACGACAATGCCGCATCCACCGCCGAATATGAAGGACAGGGCTCATGCAACACGATGTCTGGCAGTCTTTCTAACGAAATCTGACGGAGGTAATACATCCACAAAGATGACGACACGACCCTTCATCTGACGAGCGGCCGCCTTGTTTTCCGCATGCCCCAAAGGGTCCAAGGGTGTATTGTCGGTTGCTTACGTGGCCTCTGCAAACGCCGACATCGCAGTTTCAACATCAAGGTCCCCAGGGGCCACTTGTTTAATGAATGTTTCCGATGCGTGATCGGCAAGATCCTTGGGATTGGATCGCACAGCATCTGGCGTGGCTATCGCGTCTACAGGTGGAGGCTTCGCCCGCGTAGAGCGATGGAAAGTGTTTCTTGCCTGTGGCATAGGGAACCGTTCCTCGAAATCACTGGGTGACCTACAAAGGGCTCGCCTCCTCGTCCTGCCCACAATCCGCGGAGCAGACTGGACAAAATTGCGAAGAATATTGATTAGATGGTTGCCCCACGAGAGAGAAGAGATTGCCAAGTAGTCCACGCATGCTCGACTCCTGCACGGATGCCCGCCCGAGCTTTCCCAATACATGCCGACACGTTTGAGCGAGTTGTTGACGCGGAATTGCCCCTTTACGGGTAACCTTGTGAGTTTCCAAACTTTCGCGCACCGCATGCAGCTCTTCCCACCACGATGGCACAACTGTACTGTAGGGAACAAGCTGACCTATGGTTTGAATTCAAACTTCTTGCACCGTGAAATATAGCAGGCCGACCGAGATACTGGCTGGGGCAAGTCTTGGCCGTCACGACCACATACCGCTTTCTCGAGCGCCGTAACCCACGCGGCATCAAGGGCTGAAATTGAGCTAACCTAAGCCAGACCCGAGCTTAGCAGCTACGGGCGCAGCAAACACAGGAGGGCAGGGGCGGGGAACGGATCCAACACCCCCACGCGCCGGAAGCCAAGCATCAGCAAGGATTGCACGGCTGACAGGATCGGCTTGTTCGGATTCTTTCTTTGCACCTGGAGGGGGCGGCTCAACAACTTCGCTGGGGGCAGGGCCTGCACGGCGCTGAGGCCACGGGATGTGATTACCATCGTCGACCAAGCCCAGAGACAGAAAAGGCACAGATTGCCGCAGACGGAGCCTCGCACCAAGGATTGGCATCTTAGCAAGCATGTGGGAGCCCCAACAGTTCGCTCCAGGGTCGCCGGAAGGATTGGATGAGCCGAAGTTCTGATCCGCACAAAAGTTGAGCTCATTGGCCCAAGGATGCTCCTCTGACGGTGCTTCAGAGAGGGCATCCCAATCAGTTGGCTGCGAAATTTGGCGCCTGGGAGATCGGCTCTCGTCCCCCCGAGCCCAGGCATCTGAAAACTTGCAGCAATAGTACTACCCCCTCTTTGCCGCAAAGGCAACCGCTTTCTCATTAGTCTCAGCCTCAGCCCTTTGGGACTTCTAGCCAGGAGTCGGCTGGGTAGCTGGCCGAAGGGCCAGAGGAAGTCTGGCTAGTTACGATTGGCGCACGCCGTATTGATTGTTTGCCTGCCGACCGCATGTGGATCTCTGCACCACAATGGGTGTTCCATGGAACGTGACAGATGGGTTGAACAGAGACAAGGTACCTCGTTGTTGCGGCACTCCTACTTCCGAAACCATTAAACGATCCAGTCTTGCCAGCATTGTTTGCATGTCCAGTCGATGCCAAGACAGGCTCACCTCCTACATTGTTTTAGTGAACCAAGCGACGACATATCACGCACCGACAGCTTGGATCTCAACCATATAAATATTGGCAGGTTCGCATACCTACAGACGTGAGCGCATACGAGGCCATCAATATTTGCGACCTCTCGACATACGGATATGCGAGAAAGTGAATCAAACACCCGACACTTGTCCATCACGCTGAAACTCATGAATACGATCGAGTTGTGAAACCATCGAATGTGCTTGCTTGTGCCGAGGCGTCACAATCCACTCCCCTCCCTCGGTCGCCTTTCAAAACCTTGCTCAGTCGCTGGTTGACCTGCACCACGCGTAGCATCAACATTTAGACGAAGGTTGGTTCGCTTGGTTTTCTGATGCCACGGAGGCAGCCTAGATCTAGAGACGTGTCTCAGCGACGCACATAGCATCATATCGCTGCGGCTGAGTCGGCGCGAACACGACATCCCACATGTTAAACCCCGTGACCGTTACGTTGCCATGCAAGATGGAGACGCGGCGCTCTGATCAGCTGCTTCACCTGGAGGCGACTCACGCGACGCCTCAGCCCCCAGCGTACGTACCCAGTCACAAATCAGGATCGCAATTTGCTGGCACCGGCTTGGCCAAAACTACTGTCTGGCGTTGGCTTGGCCTCTTCACTGTGACGCTGCGCTTCATAATCGATTGAGGCGTCGGCGGCGCCAGCGCTCCCACTGCTGGTTGCAGAGCCTGGCTGGTCGGGAGGTGCGCGCGCTTACCGTCAAGCCTCTGGCAGACGAGTAGGCCGCCCGACGGCTGTGGCCTTGTTGCCTCCGATGCCTGTCCACCACCGACTTTCTTCGCAGGCGATTTTTCCCCCCCGATGCCCGAGTTCCGCCCGAAAACTTTGCCTCTCTGAAAAAAAAAAAAATAAGTTTGGGGATACACCCCCAGGTGGACTATTCGGACGCACCCTTTCGAGGATGGGCGCCCCCCTTATCGTATATCCAATGGTTGAATCCTAAATTTCTGGTCCATTCGCAAAACCCACGATGCCTGGGGCAGGGTGCGACAGATGCCCTGCTATTTATTTTTTCTTGTGGCCAAGCGATCATTGATGCTAGAACGTAGACGTTGAGCTTGCATCTCGGCGGCTGCTGTCAAGGTTCGCGCGTGCTGGCTCGAGCTCTGCCTTCACTTCTTCAAGGACCCTCCCCTGCGGTCTGCTCGCACTCGAGACTGTTGAACCGGTCAAAGATCTCGCGGCCCCACACGAACTCGAAATGCTCTGACTCACAACTGGCGGCGGCGGGTCGGGCTTCAGAAACCCTTACTCTTGGCAAGTGTTTTGGCTGCGCGAGGGCGCGCCAAAGCTGCCACCGCCACTTCATGGGCTTCCAGGTTTTTGCCGAGCTTGACTACGCTCTGCACCGCCTGCGCGTGACGATTGTTGGCGTCGCGCCAGATTCCGTCCTCCTGCATGGCCTGCAGTACGTTGACCGTCCGTCTTCCCTCCGATACTGCCAGCTGACGACTCTGAGTCTCGAGCGAAGTACTAGAGCAGGGTCTTGAGAAGTTGCCAGTGCTCCGTCACCATCTTCAGCGAACCGAACTCGTCCAAGGATTCTCTTTGGTTTGGGTGCTGACCCTTACACTTTGACACGTTTACCACGTTCTCCGCTTTTCATGCTCTTACTCACAAGAATATCATTGGACTCAGATTGTCACTCAGATTTGCAAACAGACCAGTGGCGGCATGACATGGTGTGCAACAGAAATAATGAAACTGATGCCTTCGCCAACCCGAAAGGCAGACAGGGTCGGGCAACCTTGCTGCTGGCGAGTTGCCCTTCAGGCGACCTCTGAGCCCCGCTGGCGGCGCCTCCGACGCCGCACCTGGCGCGCTCCGCGAGCCAGGCAGGGGGGCCCAGCGCCGGTCCAAGAATTTCGTTCGGACGGCTGAACTGTATGTTTACGTGTGTTGTTGTTTGCTCCTCTAGAGAAGCAGGTTACGTACAGTCGGCCCAGATTTGTAGGGCGACCCTGCCAGCTCAAGGGTACCCTTGTGTCCTGTGCCTCGCGACACGTGCCTTCTCACACTCCACTGGCGCTATGGCCCTCGGAAGGGTCTTGTGTCCTCTCCGTGTATCCTGTCCAATCAAGTCCGACTGTAAGAGAAGGGGTGAAGCACAGAGGCAACGGCTGCCGCCACATGCGGCAGGCGAAGTAGGGCAAGGGCACAGATGCGCGAGTAATACAGACGTGCCTGTTCGGCATGGCCCGGCAAGCGCCGCAGAGTGCATCGCGAAAGGAAAGGGGAGGAACACCTAACAGGAACAATTCAGAGCGTGAATTACCTACCCCGCTTTCGCTTCCAGGCAAAACCAAGCCATACCACGCGCCTCCTCGTCTAGCGGCCTGACCAGTACAGGCTGCAATTTGGCATCGTTTGGTATCTCTTGGAAGCGAGGGTGGTCAAAAGCGAGGGAGGTTTGCTTTCCCCCTAAATAATGCCGTAAGCATCCGCCGTCGGAGGTCCACGCGGATGTCTTGGATCGGCGCTGGACCCCCTTCTCTGGCGTGCGGAGGGGAATCTGAGGCCAACCCAATCTAGGCTTCCTAGATGGGGTCGGAGCAGATGGGGTCGGAGGATCGCGCCGCATCGCTGATGCATCGACGACGCGGCTCGATGCGGAGCCCGATTTTCCTCACGCTGGCGTCGCCGATGCATCGCCCACGTCGATGGTGTGTCGCCGGTGCATCACCAATGCATCGCCGATACATCGCCGATGCATCGCCGATGTATCGGCGATGCGGCGCCATCCTCCGACCACGTCTACTCCGACCCCATCTAGGAGGCCTCTACCCAACAGATCCGCGCGGACCTCCGAATGATTACCCTTGTGCCGAGGTTTGCTCTTTTTGGGGGCACGGGAGGGGAGCGGGAGAGGGGCCGCGTGAACAAGTTCTCCAACATGCAGACGAGCCTGAACCACGTCATCGTCGGGCTGCTCGTCTTGCTCTTCGCCGTCTGCATGGCGGCAACGGTCACCTCCATAGTTGGTGAGGGCACACTCTCCGAGAGGACCTGCGGCTGCCTGCTCCTCTTCCTCCTCTTCCGCCTCCTTTTGCGGGGTCCTGCCGGCCCGGTCGTCGCGTGGCACTGCTGCGCATCCTGGCGCGGCCGACCAGATGCGACTGCGACTCACTGCTGGTGCGGCTCGATCCGACGCACGTCCCGATCCGATCCGATCCGATTTCCCGGAATCGGTGCTTGCTGCTCTGGCCAGCGACCTCCTCGTCCTCCTCTGCCCCCTGCGTTTAGGTCGGGCGTGTCCCCCTACAGGCGGAGCTTGAGCGAAGAAACATGGAAATGGTCAAAAACTACCAACGAAAAATTGTCAAGCAATGTCCACTTGGTCGTCCCTCGAGTATTTAAAAACTCTTTTCGAATATTCCTCCTGTAGAGAGACACGCCCGACTGAACCCTGCCTCCTCCTTCGTCGTCCCCCCCACCTCTCGGAGAGCTGGCGGCGCGCTCAGGAGGGAAAGCAGCGGGGGCTGGCCATCGCAGAAGGCTCAGCAGGCCTCCGGCCTTCCGAGAAGCTTGGCTTTCTTCGAAGATGTCTAAGCCTTCTCCGAAGACGCCGGGGGCCTCCTGACTTCAAAGAAGCCCCGCCGCCTTCTGAGAAGACCAGCCCCCTCCCACTTCCCCCCGTCAGCGCGCCGCCGAGACTCCCAGAGAGGACTGGAGACCATCCCGTCATCATGTTCTTGAAGTTCACCATCATCTTCTACCACATAGTGCCGCTCAGCCTGTACGTGGTCTACGAGATGCTGAAGCTGTTCCTCGGCTACCGCCTGGCGGCCGACAGACAGATGGTCGACCCCGAGACTGGCGAGGGCGCCCTCCCACGGACTGCCGACCTGATGGAGGAGACGGGGCAGACACCGCAGCTCCTCTTACTTGGGGGGGAACAAACCTACCTCGCTTTTGACCACCCTCGCTTCCAAGAGATACCAAGCGATGCCAAACTACGGCCTGTACTGGTCAGGCCGCTTGACGAGGAGGCGCGTGGTATGCCTTGGTTTTCCCTGGAAGCGAAGGCGGGGGAGGTAATTCACGCTCCTCTTACCTCCGTCCCGTCCTCCTTCCCTCGGCGAAGGAACGACGGCATGCACGTAAACGTTCGGAGCTCCGCGCGAGTTTCTTGGATCCGCGCTGGACCCCCCTGGCGGCGCCTCTGCTCCTCCTCCTCCTCCTCCTCCTCCTCCTCCTCCTCCTCCTCCTCCTCCTCCTCCTCCTCCCCTCCTCCTCCCCCTCATTCTCCTCATCCTCCTCCTCCTCCTCCTCCTCCTCCTCCCCCTCATTCTCCTCATCCTCCTTCTCCTCCTCCTCCTCCTCCTCCTCGGTTCGGCTCGTCCTGCGCGCTGCGTGCGCATGGTCGTAAGTCACGATCTGGCAGCGCCTCTGGCGCCGCCTCTGGCTCCGGCTCTGGCGCGCTCCGCGCGCCAGGGAGGGAGGGCCCAGCGCAGGTTTAGGACATCCGCGTGGAACTCCAGCAGCCTGCTTGTATCGCTGTTGTTCTTGCAGCTCCCTTCTTGTCAGAGGCAACGCCAGGCGTTAGGGGGGATAGGCTCAGGGGGGGACGCATCGACCCCCGATCGCCCACTCATCGCCGATCATCAGGGGCCCGATAGCACACCCCGCCCAGGAAGTTGCGCCTTCGCTGTCGGGGGCACGTCACCGATCCATCGGCGATGTGTCGCCAAGTCCAGGCCGATTTCCCCCCTCAGCGAGTCCACCCCCTATCGTTGCCCCATCCGTCCTCCTTCCCACTCTGCCTCCCCTGCCCCCCCCTCGAAGAGTCCAGCCCTGCATGAACACACACTCTCCGAGGGCCCCGCGGATCTGCTGGATCGGCGCCGGACCCTCCCCCGTGGCCCACGGAGCGCGCCAGGTGCGGCGTCAGAGGCGCCGCCACGGAGGCCAAGCGCCGATCCAAGACATCCGCGCGAACCTCCGAAAGTTCATGGCTAAGCAGTTGCTTCTTAGTATGTTGCTGCCTCCTCCCCCCCTCCCCCTCTCTCTGCTCCTGCAGCCCTCCCATCCCCCCACTCCTGCCCTGCTTCAGGATACAACTCCTGGGAGATCGAATTCAGCATCGGCGGTATACCCGTGGCCGAACCGGCACAATTCCACTTAATCCGGCTTCATCACAGGTTTAACCCAGCCTAATCGGGCCCCCCACCAGGGTTTCACAGCCCTGGTGGGGGCCCCGATTTCTAGCCCTTCACTGTTCTGACGAAGATCTTCTAGGAGCTGCCTCCTAACATCCTCACCCTGCTCCTCTCGGTCATAGCCAGGACCCCAGGTAAGGGGACCCGGCTAGTGACAGGGCCCCGGAGCCCCTGAATTGGCCAGAATCACTACATCAGGTCTGTCGTAGGTGGTGGTTGTTCGGGTGACGGCAGTTCCGGTTAGTGGAACGGCGCGGGGGGGGCGTCCCCCAGTACACATCACTAAACCAGGTCCCACTAAGCCCAGTCCTGCCAACGCCCGATCCTCCCTGCTCTGCCCTCTTTTCGCCTCCATCCTCGTGGGAAGGAGATGGGGCAGATCAGCTTCGTGTTCTCCGATAAGACTGGCACCGCCCGGCGGCGAGCAAAATGGGGCACGGTCAGGGGGGGCATCTTTCTAACAAGGCCACTCCCGCCCCTCAGAGTGTCCGGGAGTGGGCAGAGGAGAAAGAGCAGAACGCAGATCTCTGGCTGCATGATTTGTTCGGTCGAGAAGTTGTTCTTCGATTTCGACCCATCTAAAATTGTCCCAGGGCACGAAACTTGCGCCAGGGAAGGGGTCGGGACCTCTGGGGCCGCAGATTGAGGGAAAAAACATTTGATTTTGTCTGGGGATGATCGACATGATTAGCTTTTCTTGGCTGTTCCTGGGCCTCCAGAAACCTCCACAGGCCTCTGAGAACCTGCATGGACTTTGCGGGGCCTTCAGGGCAAGCTAGGGACTTCCAGGAGAGAGGAAAAGGAGGATGAGGAGGAGAAGGAGGCTGAGGAGGGAGCACGAAGGAGAAGTAGGAAGAAAGGAGCAGGAAGAGGTGATTTCTAAGGTACAGGCCTCTCCCGGTAAGCCTCCTGCATTGCTTCATGTGGGGGAGAGGACAGGACCCCTCGCTCTGTCGGACCCCCGCCGCAAACCCGTGCCGACCAAGCCGCCGAACGGAGGGGATAGAGGGAAAGTTGGAGGTTGGTACACTTTGGCATGGCTGGAATTATCATGCTTCAATTGGCGCCGACGTGGCATGCCATCATTTATTGTGCTGGCTGAGACATTGTTGTCGCGAGCATGTTAAGGCATGGCCCAGTACGGTGAAACCAAGGAGCTCTCGGGTTGCGATCGGGCTTTTGCTTTGCTGTCTGGCCCTAGAAAGTGTCGAACGACTTCTAGACTCGATCCTCGTCGGCTAGAGACGGCGCAACAGACACGCATAACATGCACGCCTACACACTGCAAAGCATGGCACGTGTTATCTGACATAGCTGTGAAGCGAAGGTGTTCCCCAGCTCAATCATTGGAGTCACGCCCCTCCCGTGCATCCTAGGGCATCTGGAGATGAGCAAATCCTCCCTTGAAAGAACCTCGAAGCTCACTAGCCTGCTGCTCGAAGACAATCTTCGATCGCCACGATCTGGCGCAAATCATCGCTCCGAGCAGCCTGGCCGCGCAAGCGAGAGTACCCCCCCGACGAGGCACCCTGACCCGCAACGAGATGGTCTTCGCGCAGTGCGACATCAACGGCACCGACATGGGCGAGTTCCGAGGCGACGGTGCGCCAGGCCTCGAGAAGGCGAGGCGGCAGGGGGGGAGGGGGAGCGGGTGGTGGTGGTGCACGTTGGCTTAAGCTTTACAGCTGTGCCCATCTAGCCCACAGAGCTTAACCTCTGAAACTTCCCCAAACACACAAAAGAAAACAGTCAAAGCCTGAATTCAACTGATCCCCTCCACGGCGCAACGCGTTGAAGGCGCCTCTCTCGGGCTGGAGCGGGAGGCAGGAGGTACAGCGGGCACGCTAAGTAAGGAACAAGCTTGCCAGCGCGTGCCCCACGACAATGTCTGATCTCCCGATTGGCCCGCGGAGTCCCGGGGCACGCAACGAGGCCCAGAGTCGACGAAGGCTGCGCCACCGCATGCACTGTCGCAAGATTTCGTTTCGTATGCGCCTGCGGTAGCATCGATGTGTTTTCTTGTTCCCAACTGTCCTGTGGTGTTGGGCCCTGGTTCTGAAGAGACAGCACCGCGCGGTCCTCCTCTTCTCCTCCTTTCCTCCTCTCCTCTCCTCCTCCTCCTCCTCCTTCTCCTCTTCCTCCTCCTCCTCCTCTTCTTGCTTCTCCTCCTCCTCCCCCGCCTCCTCCTCCTCCTCCTCCTCCTCCTCCCCCTCCTCCTCCTCCTCCCTCCTCCCCCCTTCATTCGTTAGCATGCAGCTCCCCCACCCAGTACAGCGCTGCGTGGCCCCATTTGGATCTCCACCTAAGGCCACAGGGGCGCAGCCCATATGCGTCTCCCACACCCAGTCAGGCGCGTCGTGGCCCAACAGGGAGCTCCACCGAAGGCCCCAGTGGCGAAGCCCGCATGCGCCTCCCACGCCGAGTACAGCGCTTCGTGGCCCCATAGGGAACCCCACCGAAGGTCCCAGCGGCGCAGCCCGCATCGTCCCCCACACTCAGTACAGCGCTTCGTGGCCCCATAGGGAACTCCACCGAAGGTTCCAGTGGCGCAGCCCGCATGCGCCTCCCACGCCCAGTACAGCGCTTCGTGGCCCAATAGGGAGCTCCACCGAAGGTCCAATGCCGCAGCCCGCATGCGTTTCCCAAACCGAGTACAACGTATCGTGGCCCCGCACGTAGCTCCACCGAAGGTCCCAGTGGCGCAGCCCGCATGCGCCTCCCGAGCCGAGCACAGCGCTTCGTGGCCCCGTAGGGGATTCCACCGACGGTCCCAGTGGCGAAGCCCGCATGCGCCTCCCCAACACAGTAGAACGCTTCGTGGCCTCACATGGAGCTCCACCGAAGGTCCCAATGCCGCAGCTCGCATGCGTCTCCCCCACCGAGTACAGCGTTTAGTGGCCCCACAGGGAGTTCCACCGAAGGTCCCGATGACGCAGCCCGCATGCGTCTCCCACGCCCAATACAGCGCTTCGTGGCCCCACAGGGAGCTCCACCGAAGGCCCCTGTGGCGCAGCCCGTTTCCCCCACCCTGCACAGCGTTCCGTGGCCCTATAGCCCCGCCGAAGGTCCCAGTGGCGCAGCCCGCATGCGTCTCCCCCACCCCGTTCAGCGCTTCGTGGCCCCATGGGATCTCCACCACAGGTTCAGGTGGCGCTGCCCGCATGCGTCTCCCCCACCCAACACAGCGCTCCATGGCCCCATGGGGGGCTTTACCAAAGGTCGCAGTGGCGCAGCCCGCACGCGTCTCCCACACCCAGTACAGCATTTTGTGGCTTCGCAGGAAGCTCCACCGAAGGTCCCAGCGGCGCAGTCCACACACCCAGTACAGCGCTTCGTGGCCCCACAGGGAGCTCCACCTAAGGTCCCAGTGGCTCAGCCCGCATGCGTCTCCCAAACCGAGCACAGCGCTTCGCGGCCCCACAGGGAACTCCACCGAAGGTCCCACTGGCGCAGCCCGCATGCGTCTCCCCAACACAGTAGAACGCCTCGTGGCCGCACATGGAGCTCCACCGAAGGTCCCAATGCCGCAGCCCGCATGCGTTTCCCAAACCGAGTACAACGTATCGTGGCCCCGCACGTAGCTCCACCGAAGGTCCCAGTGGCGCAGCCCGCATGCGTCTCCCACACCCAATACAGCGCTTCGTGGCCCCATAGGGAGCTCCACCGAAGGTCCCAGCGGCGCAGCCCATCTCCCCCACGCGGTACAGCGTTTCGTGGCCCTATAGCTCCACCGAAGGTCCCAGTGGCGCAGCCCGCATGCGTCTCCCACATTCAGTACAGCGCTTCGTGGCCCCATAGGGAACTCCACCGAAGGTCCCAGTGGCGAAGCCCGCATTCGTCTCCCCAACACGGTAGGACGCTTCGTGGCCTTACATGGAGCTCCACCGAACGTCCCAATGCCGCAGCCCGCATGCGTCTCCCAAACCGAGTACAGCTCTTCGTGGCCCCGCAGGTAGCCCCACCGAAGGTCCCAGTGGCGCAGCCCGCATGCGTCCCCCACACCCAATACAGCGCTTCGTGGCCCCATAGGGAGCTCCACCGAAGGTCCCAGCGGCGCAGCCCATCTCCCCCACGCGGTACAGCGCTTCGTGGCCCTATAGCTCCACCGAAAGCCCCAGTGGCGCAGCCCGCATGCGTCTCCCACATCCAGTACAGCGCTTCGTGGCCCCACAGGGAGCTCCACCTAAGGCTCCAGTGGCACAGTCCGCACGCGTGTCCCCCAGCCAGTACAGCGCTTCGTGGAGTTACAAGCGGGCTCCACCGAAGACGGGACCTACAACCTCGCCGTTCACAACTGCATATGGTTGGGTCTTTCGCCCGGCTAATTACCGTTTTTTGCCTCTCAGGTGGCTTCTGGAGGCCTTTCAGGACCTTTGGAGACCTTGCTAGGCGGACGCGAGAAGCTATGCGACCGCATGTCGCACGATGGAGGAGGGCGGAGGAAGGAGGGAGGTTGCTTTTGCGCGGCATCAAAGCAGCCCGTGCGCCGATCATCGATTGACTCTGATCTCCACGGAGCCACGGCAAAAGTGGCGTGCGCGACCTTGCCCTCCCGCCGCCCCAGAGCGAAGGGGGGCAAGATAGCTGGCTGGAGGCCCGGCGGCAAACGGTGGGTCCCGCGGGGACAGGGCTTTCGAGAGCCCCCGGCCAGAGCCTCTTGGACGGCCTCCAGGCACTTTGGCGCCCTGCCGAGGGAGGAGGGGGTGAGCCGCCGGAGGAGGGGAAATCCCCACCTGCCGGAGGTGGAAGAGCAGGTGGGAGGTGGAAGAGGAGAGGGGAGGGAGGAAGGGTGAGGGACGGGGATGGGTGACAGGGGGGGGCCGAGGAGGATGAGGAGGAGGAGTGAGGGAACAGAGGGAGGAGGAGGAGGAGGAGGAGGAGGAGGAGGAGGAGGAGGAGGAGGAGGAAGAGGAGGACGAGGAGGAGAAGGAGGAGGAGCACAAGAGCAAGCACAGCACGCACCTCGGATGCTGCAGCACGCCAGCGCGCACAAGCTCGGCCAAGACCCTGGAGCGAGAGAGCTCTTTAGGCTCGGCGAGGGGCCGTGGCGTTCGGGCCGCCAGCTCCGATCCAGACCGGGGAACCCCCGTCGTGGCCCAGGCTCGCCGTGGCCGGGAAAAGCCACTGCGGGCGTGGGCCCCCGAGGGTGTGCTTCCAGTGCTTGGCCGTCCGGGTGCGTATCCAAGGGCTCCCTCGAGGGCGCGAAGTTATTCGCGCTTCGCGCTTCGCGGTCCTCGTTCCTTCTCCCCCTCCTCCTCGTCCTCCTCTTCTCCCTCTGGGGGGGCGGCGCGAGAGCGCGAAGTTATTCGCGCTTCGCGCTTCGCGGAGCGCGAAGCGCGAAGTTGGGAGCCCTAGGTATCCGGCGTGGGCCCCCGGATGTGTGGTTCTGGTGATTGGCTTTCCGGATGTTCGGGCACGCGACTTAAAAACTTGTCCCAGAGCTATTCTATGTCTTGGTTCTAGGCTGTTTCGTTTCGTTTTTTAGGTTTTTAGGCCTCCCGTGCTAAAAGAATAGCTCTCTGGAAGGTCAGGGCGGCTGTCGTCGTCGACGAGGTTTTGAAGGCGGGCCTGTCCCTCTGCAGGAGGAAAGGGGGGGATTGGGAAAGGGGGGGGTACAACATTTGCTGCATGCAGCTGGTCTCGGCTCCACCGAGGGGCCCATTCCTCGATACATGGCCGCCCCCGGCGCCGGGAGGCGCCGGGAAAATCAGCTGCCGTGAGCTGATTCTCAACCCCCCCCTTTGCTATCCCCCCCTTTCACCCGGCCCAAGATATGAATCCGACGGGCGGCCTCCGGATGTTCCGGATGTGTTTACAGCCGGAGGTGGTTCCAGCTTCTTGGTACCGTTCCTTTCTAGGCCTCCCAGATGGGGTCGGATGATCGCGCCGCATCGCCGATGCATCGCCGATGCGGCTCGGTGTGGAGCCCGATTTGCTTCACGTCGGCGTCGCCGATACATCGCCCGCGTCGACGATGCATCGCAGGTGCATCGCCGATGCATCGGCGATGCATCGCCGATGCATCGGCGATGCGGTGCGACCCTCCGACCCCATCTACTCCGACCCCATCTAGGAGGCCTCTATCCTTATGGTGCAGTCAAGACGCTGACACAGGGACTACTTCGGGCTCAGGAGGGGCTCTAGCTGTCAGGTCGCTCCTCAGATTCCAGTCGGGGAACCCGTTCGTGGCCGAGGCTCGCCGAGGCCAGGGAACCTCCTTCGCACCCCTGCCGTGCAGCGCGAGCTCTCGAGGGGACGGAGGCCCCATTGGGCCCCCTTACACAGCGAGCGAGTCCGACGTGATGCCCGAGGTGCATAGAGCTCGGCGGCAGTGCCCCGGTTCGGCCGCACGGCGCCAAAGGTAGCAGTGAGCTTGGGAGAGAATCGCCCTCCACCCGTTTAGTTGGCAGGAGCTGCAAGGAAGACGTGCGCAGCGCCGTCGCGAGAGCGCGACGCGGCCCGAGGTGCACAGAGCTCGGCGGCAGTGCTCAGCTTCGGCTGCACAGCGTCGAGGGCCCCAGCGGGCTTGGGAGGGCATCTTCAGGAGGTGAAAAAACACGCAGACACAATGAATCGTCGATTCCCAGAAAATATGGAAAACTATGGGAAGTGGGGGGAAGACAAAAACCCAGAGAATATGCGAAAATATGGGGAATATTTCTATTTGTGTGTATCTACTTGTGTGTCCTGGGGCCCCTTCAATCTGGGTCACCCTCCCGGATCTCCGAAGTTATGATGGCTTCAATCAGGGCGTGTTGTCTTGGCGATGGTCTCCAGTGCCCGCTATCGAGCCCCCGGGCCAACAATGAAGCTGGTGCGACGCCAATTCAGAGAACGTTTCCTAAGCGGCGTCGTTTGGCGTTACATTGTTATGCGTCGCTTGGCATTGCATCGCATTGTTTAGCATTGTTTTTCGCTGCGTGCTATTGTTTGACGACGTTTAGTATATTGGCATCGTTTCGTATTCCTTGGCATTATGTGGAAAACTGCTTAGCATTGCTGGAAGTTGCGTTGCTCAGCATTGCCTGGCATCCCTTTGCACTGCATGGAACTCCTTCACATTGCTTGGCATTGCTTGGCATCGGTTGGCATTGTTGTCCATCGCGTTGAATTGCTTGGCGTCGCTTGGCGGTGCTTGGCATTGCTTTGCGTTACGTGGCAATGCTAGGCATCGTTTTAGATTTGCATTGCTTGGCATATTGCTTGGCATTGGTTGGCATTGCTTTGCGTTGCTTGAAACTGCTTGGCGACCTGGGGAACGCCTGTCCAAAAACAGAAAGAAAACTAAACCAAGCAACCCAGAGAACTCGGGGAATCCGAGGAAGGCCGGCTTTTCAAAAGCAGCAGGCAGACAAGACCAACGGAACCAGGCGAAGGCCTACCAGCATTGGCCGCGCACCCACCAGTTGTTCAAAACAAATCAGACCCCATCAGGCAAGCCAACTTCGGTAAAAATAGATCCGCGGCGAGAACTAACCCCAGAGAAGGGTCGGGACATCTAGGTCCGCGGGTTAAGGAAACAACATGTCGGCGGATGTCCGCGGATCTATGTCACCCCCAGGGGTGCGAAGACTGGACTGGGCAGTTGCCCTTTTGCAGGGTGGGGGGCGGCGGCCGCGGCTCTTCGGCTCGCGCGTAGTGTTGCAGGCGAGCGAGCTCGTTCGAGGCCACGATCGGACAGGTGGCGGCGGCCGCGGACTTCAGCGTAGAGGAGACACGGGCTCCAGTGAGGGAGTTCGTCGACCACGCGGTGGCCGACGAGCCGCTACAGAAGCGTCTGCGGGCGCTCCACGGCAGCCCCGAACAGGCCATGATGGAGGAAACCCTGGCGGCGAGCGTCTTGGCCGCATACGAGGTGGAGTTGCGCGAGGCCGCTCCGCCGCCAGAGGCCCGCGCTCAGGCGGGAACCCGCTACGCGCGGAGGTGCTTCGCCGCTGCCGAGGAGAGCCGCGGCGAGCTGGAGGCCCCCGACAGCGTGCGCGCTGGATGCCGCGCCTCCTTCAAATGCTCAGCGAGATGGATTCGCCGTCGTTGGAGGTGGTGCGGTCATGCGCTGCATGGCATCACGGGCCGCGCGCGCGACAACACAGTGAGTTAGTACGCGCGTGCGGGCGAGACGCTGCGCTGATGGCTCCTGCGCGCGCACAGTATCAGTATCCCGTGGCCGAAGACGGCCGTGAACTTCATCGACCACGTGTACGTCAGGGCTGCCGAGCCTTGTGGGCCGACGGTGCCTAACCAGGCCCTCTGCGCCCTGGCCTGGACCGAGCGCGCGGCGGGCTTCGACCCGAGCGTTGGGTTCCCTTTTCGGCTGGAGGTCCAACAGGTCGTCGCGAGCACGGATATGCTCCTGGGCGCTGGCAAAGGCCCGATGACGAAGGCGGCCCGACTCGCCAGCGCGCACAGGCCACCGAGACCCGCGCCTTCTGCGGTCAGCGCATGCAGTACCGGCGGGGGCTCCACTGGCAGGAGGGCAGCGAAAAGCTGAAGTGCCTGGTGCCCAACCAGCTCGCCGAATTCGCTTTCAACGCGCTAAGGGCGCAGCTGCTCGTCAGCTGCGCCCTTAGCGCGTTGACTTCGCAGCTCAGGTCGACTTCGACGGCGCGCGCGCCGCGGCCCTCCGCCCGGGCGGCATCGGCACGCCGCGCCCGAAGCCGACGCGCCTCATCAGTCGGCCTCATCAGTCGCCTGCGGCTCCACAGCGGCCACCTGGAGTCCGACGCGAACGGGGGGCACCTGAGACCGCTGCCGCCACACCGGACAGGGTTCGAATCAAGACATCGCGTTCAAGACCACGGGCGTTGCGGCTCAGCCCCCGCAGCTGCGCGAGTGGGCGGCGCGGGCGTCGGCGCATGGCCGAGCGGCTCACCGCCCCACTGGGGAGGGGGAAACTCGCTTGGAGCCGCCCGGCGGACCCGCGCGCGGCGCAGGCCCGGGGCTCTGGGGCGCCGAGGAGGGCCCCCCCCGCAGAGGGTGGCCCGCTCGGCTAACGCGACATCTACACCGGCAGGGGTAACGCCAAAGTCCCGCCGAGCAAGCGGAGCAACCCCTTCTCCATCAAGCGCCGCGCGGGGGCGCCATCGCGGCCTTCGCGCGCTGGACGGCGCCGCCCCGAGGCACCTTGCACCCCGACTGCCGCGCGGGCGCCGCCATCGCAGCACGGCGAGCAGAAAAGGGGCGCGCGCCTTCGAGCCCCCCCCCCCCCCCGCCGATTCGGAGGCGCGGGGCCGCCGCGCAGATAGATGCGAGTGCATCGAGTGCCCGAGGGGCTTTCACGATGGCGCGGGCCTCTTTTCGCATGGCCGCTGGGGCGCGGACCATAGGAATTCCTCAAACCCCCAGACTGGCCCGACTCGGGGGCCGCGCCCTTCGAGGAGATCGCAGAGAGGCCACGGGCTGCCGGCCAGCCGCGGAGCGCGCCCCGGCGGGGCGGGCGCGCCCGGCCGGGGCCGACCCGAGCGAGCCGTCCGACTACGCGATGAGGGGTCCTCGATCAAAGGTTGGATCGGAGCAAAGGGCCGCGCGGGCCACGGCGACGACTTGGGCCACGTCGCAGCGGAGCAGCCCATCCGCCTCCGCTTGCCGGCCGCACTCCCGCGCGAAGCAGGGGGCCCGGAAGCAGATATGATGAATGGGGCGGCGACGGGGGCCGCGGCGGGAACTCCTGCGCAAGATGCCCCGGCAGGAAGCGCCCGCGTTGCGGGGCGGCCTCGAGGTGGATCGGTTTGGCCTCCACTGCGACTGCGCCACCCGCGCCATGGGGCTCTCGGAGGCGAGGGCGGCGCGAGCGGCGGCCCGGCGCCCGGGGGCGCTGGGGCGCGGCGCCATTCGCGCGAGCGAGATTGGCCCGGGCTCGGGGCGCCTGGGCTTTGCAGCGACGGCCATCGGGCCCGCGCGCTTGGGTCGCTGGCGCCGAGAGGGCGGGCAAGAAGAGAGCACCCTTGCCCTGGGCGGCCAGGTCCGCACTGGCGTGCATCGGCAAGCCAAGGGCAGGAGGGCGCAGGCTGGGGGCGCGCATCAAGTGCGAGAGAGCGCGGGGCACTCCCGCTCGGGCGCGAAGGCACAGGCGGGGCGCCGCTGGGCAGGCGGCTGGGAAGCGACGCCGGACGGCGGCACCCAAGGAGCTTGCTGGCACGCGTCGGGGGCGAGCAAGGTCTGCCCCCCGCGGGAGTGGACCAAGGCCGACGACCCGACCAGGGCCATCGCGACGCCCGAGCTCCTCCGCGCGACCCCCCGCGCGAAGCTGTTCGCGGTGCCCGGGGCGCTCCGCCAGAGGGCGAGCCCCAAGATGGCGAGTTGGACGGACAAGCCAGGGAACGCCTGCGCGGCGCCCAGGGCCGCGTCGAACGAGCGGCCGTCGACGGAGCCCTCGCCCAGCTCCCGGAGGAGTTGAATCGCGCAAAAAATGGCGGCGAGTTTAGCTCGAGGCGACCACCGTCAAAACGACGGACTTCGGCGAGGTCGCCCGCGTGCGCGCGGCGGCCGCGGGCCCGAGGCGGCGCGCGCTCGACGAGATGGCGCGGGCCCCCCATGGGGCTCTTCGACGCGATCGTCGAGGAGTGGGCGGCCGCCGCGCGTGGGGCGCCCGCCGCGGGGGGCGGCCTGGGGGGCGCCGCGGGCGACGCGCGCGCGCCCCGAGCATCGGCGACGGCTCCGCTCCACGCACTGCTCGGGCGGAGCCGTTGGGGCGGGAGCCCGGCGATGGCGCGCGCCCGCGGCGGCGGGCCCCCGCGCGACCTTTCGAGGCGGGGACTCGGCGCGCCTGGGGGGTCGCACTTGTCAACGACAGCGACGACGACAGCGACAACGACGACGACGACGCCGCCGACAACGACTACGACGACACCGACGGCGTCTCCAACGATTTCGACGACGCCGACAACGACGACGACGACGGCACCGACGGCGACGACGACGACACCGCTTTGGAACCCCGCGCACACCCCAGCGGGCGCCTCCACGGCGGGGCCCCCCTTCCCTGCCCGCCGCCCCCCCGTCCTTCCGCCGCGGGCGGGTGGCGGGGGCCCAGGGCAGGAGGAGCGCGCCAACCGAGGGTGGCTCTCATGGGAAATGAGCAACGTCAGCTTGGGAGAAGCAAATGCGCAACCCCTTCCCCCCCCCAGGGCGGATGTATAGACCCCGCGGGGCGCGAACCGTTTTTTTTTTTTTTTTTTTATATATATATATATATATATATAATATATATTATATATATATATATATATTATATATATATATAAAAATCACGCGCGCCAGGGGGTCGTCGCGGACGCCGCCGAGGGGATCGTGCACCCCCGTGCATGACAGCCTCAAAATAATTGCCTTTTCGTATAGAAGTTGTTTTAGGGGTTGCACACATTCGAGGCGATTTCTGCCCCCCTCTGAGGCGTCGTCGTCGTCGCCATCGTCGTCGTCGGCGCGGCCCACGCGGTCGTCGTCGTCGTCGTCGTCGTCGTCGTCGTCGACGACGAGTACAAAGACCACGACACAGGGTGCGAGGAAGACTGCCCGCATTGCTCGGGTCGTCGTCGTCGTCGTCACGGAAAGTGCGGGGGCGAGCGCCGACAACGCATTTTTTCATTTCGAACATGTGCCGCCCTGGCTCACGGCCCCTGCTTCTGCCGCCTTTGCCTCCCGCCCCCTTGCGCCATAAGAAACGGTGAGAAAAGGAGAGAGGTGACGTGGGCCTCCACCCTCGGCCCAAGCGGTCCCCAGTTGCCTTGGCCGCCTGCACGGGGCGGGCGGCGTTCCCCGCGAGGTTCGGCCAAATGGGGGTTGGCACCTAGGCCGATGAAAAGGCCCACGACAAGGGGCTGCCCCCCTGCGCTCGCATCGCCCAGGGGGGGGCCGAGGATCCGCCTCTTCACCTCCGGGTATCCTCTCCTTTTTGGCGTTTCCTTCCCATCGCATTGGGGGGCATCGAGTCCCTGGGAATGGCAGGGGCCATGAACCAGGGCCTCCAGGACCACCACCAGTAAAATGTGCATCACCGTCATCACCTCCCCCCCACCACACACATTTCACCGCCATCGCAGTGCTATTAGGGCTAATCGAGGACACGCCCCCGCGCACCAACACGAAAGCGCAGCCTCCTGAACTGCCCGACGCGCGTTGCCATTTGACCCCCCGGCCGATCTTGAACCACCCGCCCACCGTCCTGGTGCATCAGGTCCCTGGGAATCGCAGGGCCCCCGAAACATGGCCCCTGGAACCGCCACCAAGAATTGGAACCTCACCGTCACCCTCTTCTCCCCCCTTCTACCGCCATCGCGCCGCTATCAGGGCCCATCGAGAATACTACACGCTGTGGGGAGGTTTCGGGTGAAACGCCCGGAAGCCCTTGCCGCCACAACTGGTGCTGCGGCGGGCTTTCGGGGAGGAGAAGTCGTAGGGATCCCATTCCCTCTCCGGACATCTGACGTCACGCACCTTCGCGGCACGGGCCTTCAGAGTTTCTGGTTTTTTTTGTCAAGGATAGCTGCTGCATGCCGAAGTCGTGTATTGGGGGGCCCGTGGTTCCACAAGGCGAAACCTGGGAAAATCAGCCGCCACGATTTTTCGTTGCATTGGAGGGACGAGGAGGGAGGGGCACAGAGGGAACGAGGAGGAGGAGGAGGAGGAGGAGGAAGAGGAGGAGGAGGAGGGAGGTGAAGCAGTTGCTCAGCGATGGCCTGTCCGAGAACACGTCGGTTTCGGACCAGGACTTCTGCAGCGTGGTGGACTTCTTCACCTGCCTCGCCGTCTGCCATAGCGTTGTGAGAGAGCGGCCTCCCGAGGACGCCAACGATCCCACTCCTCCCCCCGCTTCCACCCGTGTGGAAAGAAAGCAAACATTAAAACACACTGACACCCATACCCCCCGCCAAGACGCACACACACACACACACACACACACACATACACACATACACATACACACACCACGCACGGTTATCGCTAATTCCCAGCCTGTTCTCGGCCTCTGGAGGGAGATTCTCTTTTTTTCCGGGCCCGGAGACCATATTTGCCAGATAATGGGGTCCGAGGAATGCGGTTTTCCTCCGTGTCGTCCTCTCCCTCCTCCTCCTCTGCCTCCTCCGCCTCCTCCTCTTCTTCCTCCTTCTCCTGCTCCGCCTCTTCCTCCTTCTCTTCCGACAACCGACCAATACCATACACATCCGACACCTTCCATTCTGCGTGTCCAAAAACACTACAAAGTCGACGATGTTCGTCTCACCAAGAACATTGTGTCGTGCATGATGCGAAACCCGTGGCTGGAATGGGGCGGGGCGCACATATCGCGGGAATGACCGAAACGCCGCTTTCGCCTCAGCGCCGCGGAGAGTTGAGCTCCCAGTTGGGCGCAGCGCGCATCTTTCGCACGGAATTCGTCAACGTGCGAGCGGACGAGAATTCAGATTTCGCTTGAAAGTGGCGTTCCCACCTCGACGCGGCGCATACGTCATTCGCCAATGTTCGGGGGCCCGCGCAAGTGGGCGATTCGTCGCCTTCGCCAACATTCATTGCGCATTTCGTTCGGAAGTGGCGTTCCAGCGCGAGCGCGGCTGCGCGAGAGCGGGCTGGCTGCCGACCTCGCCGAAGCGCCTCGAAGCTTGTGAGTTTAAATGTTAGCGGCAGTGCTGCGCTAGCGCAGCGCATGCTTCGTCTTCGCCACCCCAATCGGAAGTTTTGCCGATCCCGCCCCTGCGCGGCCCGCGTAATTTTCTATTCGCCAAGTCGTCAGAAACGGGGCCGCGCGCGAACGGCCTTCGCTTGTGAGGCCAACCAGTATTTCATGAATGACAGCACCGCCAAGATCTACAAGGACCAGTTTGCGACCCATCCCAGGCATGTCCGGGCTGTGCCCGGACAGTTCGCGGGCCCCAAATTGTCATTGTCCACGCCTGTGGGGTAGCTTCAGGTGTAAGACACTTGTTCGACACAACGTTCATTTGCGGTGTCTGCACAACGTCCCGCGTTTTTTGAGACTCTGTCTCGAGAGCCGTGGGAAAAGCAACCAGAGAAGAGGCATCGGGCGATTGTGTCGCTGGTGCCGAGCAGGGATGCAGCAGGGAACATGGGAAGTGTGTTCTGTTTCAACCCTACGAGGCAATGCGGCGCAAGGCATGACGACGTGCATGCCATTTTCCGAGGCACCACACCTCGGGACCCGACCCTTCGCTGTACCTACTCAGGCCCGCCAGCAATGCAGGACGGGATGCCGATGCGCACTCCTCTGGGCGATCGCGCAACTGGGGGTGCTCAGTACAGTGACCGCGCGACGTACGAAGAGCGTTCCCGCGATTGTGCCGCGGAACGTCCCAATGAACAGTTTGGCCGAACGACGGGGCCAGCTGGGCGAGGAGGAGCGCACCTCGGCAGTCGGCTCTGATGAACTCCGACCGACTGCCGCAGGAGCGCATCGACAACTTCAAACGGGCGCAGCAATCTGGTCAATTCGCGATCGGCTACGAGGGGCTGGGCGCCCCCCTGCTGCGCGCCGCTGGTGCGTCGAAAATTCAGCTCGCCATGCCCCTGCAGCACTGCAACATGGTCTACCCCACGAACGCTCAGCAGCTCACCTATATGACAGGCCAGCTGAGACGCTTCGGTCACATTATAGGCGGATCACCAGGCAACCTCGCCTCGGCGGTCCAAGGCCGCGCCTGGAGGCTGCGCCTCCAGCGCGGCACCACCAGCGCAGGGGGCACACCCAGTAGCAGAAATCGACTCGGGCACCGACGCCGGCGCCGCCAGCTCATTCGGCGAGGAGATAGCAGCCGACGACCGCGAGATACGCGACATTCCCGTGGAGCATCGCGGCGCGCACCCTTCTTGGGCTTACGAGCGCGCCAAAGCACGCCGGCACCGTTGCAACGACCGCCTGCCCGCGCGCCACGCCCAGAGGGTCGTCGGACGGAAGGGCAGGGGCAAAAGCACAAGCCACCGCGCTCCCCTAGCCACCCAGCCTGAGAACGACCCCAGGAGACCGTCGCGCGCTGCGGGAAAGGCAAGGGCGATGGGAAAATGGAAGCTCAGGCCCACGGGCATGGGTTCGGGCCGCCAAGACTGCCCCACGGGCCCCGACAGGGTGCGTTTCAAGTACCACGAGCGCGACTCCGAGGAGCACCTCGTGCGCGACTGCCCCCGGCGCCTTGGACAGGGGCGCTCTCCCCCTCGACGCCTGCGCCCCAGCGCCACCATCAGGGCCCTCATCCACAGGACAGCAAGGGCCGCCGGGGCAGACCCGGCAACAGCCCGCGCCAGGAGCTCACGCACGGTCTGGATGACCAGGGGGACTTCCGGGACTCTTCGGCCCGTGGCCGGGCATCTTAGGAATGGCGGAAAGCCGACTCCAGCGGCGCCCGCGCCGCGGCCATCAGCTGCAGCGGCTACTCCGAGCGGCTCGCGGCGACCCATTCGCCGCACGCAGTGGTCTACTCGGGCAGGGGCATCGCCAGCATCCCCGCCCTCTCCGCGCGAAGCCGAGCTACGACGAACCACGATGGAAGATGGCCAACCGCATAGGCCGCGCGCAATCAAGCCCCTGCAGCACCGACGGCTCCTGCGACTGCGGCGCCGGGCCGTCCAGCAGCGGCGGGGGAAGCGCCGGCAGCCGCGCCAGCTCCAAGAGCACCAACAGCACCAGCAGCCTCAGCGACACCACCACTACCAACTACACCACAGCGGTGGACACAAGCGGGCGGTGCATTTCCTTCGGAGCAAACCCGGGGTCGCGATTGGATAGGCGACCGTAGCGCACGCGTCGCCGCGCGCCCAGCCCAGTCTGCCGACGCGCAGTTGTCGAGCAGGGCTTGCACGCCTTCAGTCTCGACCCTTGGCATCAGCACGCCATGTGGATGGAGCTCCACGTGGCCGCGTACAATCAGGAGCCCCGTCAACGTCAGCCAACCGCCTGGGAGCGAGGCCGCGCGCTTCCCTGGCCGCGACACCAGGGTATTCGGCGGCGGCCGATGCGAGCATGGCGCGCGCGCCACCGGCGACCGCGCGCAACGACGGCATCTCGACGAGCTCCGCAGCACACAGCTGGCGCTCAAGCTCGCACGGCAGCAAGATGAGCAGCGAGCCCAGGCAGCAGTGTTGGACGGAGACGGACGGGTCCTCCTCCAACGCCCGCCGCTGCGCCGACTGCTCCGCCCCCCTCTGTGACGACATTGGGTGGCGACGATAGGGAGTGCCCCATCTATCTCGAGGCCTTCCGGCGCGGCGAGCGGGCGGCGCGCCTGCAGTGCTGCCGCGTCTTACATCAAGCATGCCACCGCAAGCTTGGTCCGCGGACAGGCCGACGTCATCGCGCAGTTCCGCTGCATCGGTGCGGATCGCAGTTCTGGCGCTCGTGACACTGGCCCGCGCGGCAACAGACAGCGCGCCCGCGGTTCCGGCAGTTGCGCCGCCGGTTCGCGCAGCGTCGAACAGGGACGTGCCAGTGGAGATCGCACCGCAGGACCTTGCGCGGTCTCCCCGGCCAGCCCCTGCCCCCGGGACGGCCCGGCCAGACCCCGCTCGGTCACCACGCAGTGGGCGCGTCGGTGCCTGGCGACGCGCAGCTGGACATGCACGCGCCCCCCTACTGGCCGACGCCCCCGCGGCGGCCGACTGCGTCGGGCACGGGCCCGAGTGCATCGGACGACTCGCCAGACTACCTGGCGAGCACCTGCCAGGTGGCCGGTCAGGCGTCATAGTCGACGCCAGCGCCTGGGCCAACCTTTGGGGATTGCGCATTTCGCCGTGAGTCTTACACACAAGGCCCAACAAGCCAGGCTGCATCACTCCGAGGAGAAGTTGCCCTCTCCAATGTACGTTGCAGGAGTCGGCAACGGGTCACAGGCAGCGAACTACGAGACCCACTGCCCCATCGGAGCGACTTCCTGCGACGGCGCGACCAGTCGGCACACCGTGCGCGCCACGGCCACGGAGGGAACGGGAGCTGGCCCCCTTGCCCCGCCAGGTCTGCAGTCCGCGCAGTCCAACATGGGGGATGGCGGAGACAGGCGCGGACCACAAGCGCCCCGCGTTTCCCGGACAAGGCGGCTACCAGATCATATGGGGCCCCGGAACCATCCCTTCGACCTCGCGCGCGCGCCAGGCGGCAATCTGCGCGCCCTGGTCGACGACTACGACGCGCTCAGGCCGCGCTCCGGGGGCCTGCCGCTAAAGCAGCTCGCGCGGCTGGCGGTGGGCAACGACGACCAGGATTCCGACGCCGCTGGCGGGCGCGAGTCCCGCGCGTTGAAGGTCCAGCTCCTCAGTTTAAGCGCGCGGGCACCCTTGCGGGGCGCGCCCAGGGCCGCGGGCTGCGACCCTCGCGCCCGCGCGAACGTCAGTCTCGCGAGTTGCGGTCGTGAGCTGGCGTCGACAGGCGTGGCGGCCCTAGCGCCCCGTGCGCCTACCTGCGCGTCGCCCCCCGCTCACGATCCGCTTTCAACGGGATCGACGTCGCGGGCGGCGTGGTGGGCCCCGACTTCCGCGGCGAGATCAAGGTGATCATGTTCAACACGTGCCCGCGGACGTTCTTGGCCGAGCAGGGCCATCGCGTCGCCCAATTCATGCTGGAGCGCATCGCCAGCGATACCGAGATCGCAGTCGCCCCCAGCCTCCTTTCGGTATCTCGTGGATCTGGAGACTTCGGACACACGGTTTCGACCTCGTTCGCACCACCGACTTCGAGGGTTTTTTTCCCCGCCCCCCAGATGCTGCCCGACAGCACGTCCCCCTGCACCGCCCACAGCATGCCGTGGATCACGCGCGACACGAATATGGACGACGTTCACCACGCCCT